TTAGAACAGATACTATCTCTCCCTAAAACTTTTCTCCAAATTTGACTTTACAACCGTATAAAATCACCCTGTTAGAAGGAACTCTAAAGTAACCCACAGTTAAAGGATTAGATGTTTGAAACGAGTATTGTCAGACATGATTTTAACAGTAAGCAGTTTTTTTAATCTTGCTTCCTAAAAAAATTATCAAAACCAAAGTTAACACAAACAGATTTATAAGAAGAGTTAATCGGCCACACAACAGCACTCAGCAACTTCCAACTGCCCAGAACACTCACTTCAACACGCACATTCCATGCCACAAGCATGAATATGCAAACTGCAGCTAAAGAAATCTTCAAACATGAAATAAAACTTCCAGCTTCCTAGAAAAGAAAAGTTCAGCACAGAATCTGGCATCAGCCCACAGTAGGAAAACAAATCTCTCTAACTGCTGTCGAATTCTCACTTCCCAGAAAACAACAGATAGAACAAATTAAAAGCGTAACTCTTCAGTTTCCACAATGCTTGAGCATTTTCTCATTTTGACTACTGCATGAACCACTTGCTTTCATTTCTTTTTAGAATTTGGAAACATATGTTATGGATCTGTTCCACAAAATACTCTACTCGCCAATACAAAAGAAGGGCAGAAGTTTCATCATGACTCCTGCAGGACATGGTACATTTCTTTTGAGTTGATGGGTGTTGGTTTCACATTGCTGAATTGCAGAAAAGTGAAAGGCATCTTCAAGAAAAACTGGTTACTTCTTTTGATATTTGTTCTTACAACCTTCAAACACACAGTGGTTGCCCGGAGACTCCTATACAAACTTCGTAATTTGTAAAGAAACAAAGAAGGATATATTACTTGCTATTTTTAATCTCCCATGGTAGTTTCCAGAAATTACCTTAATTCTTTTAGATCACATGGCAAAAGGATCATTCCATTAATGCCTCACACCTTAATGAAGGAAGTTAACTATGCACCACATTTATTGGATTTAGTTGACAAAGTGGGGAGGGAAGAGATAAAAAGCTCCATCTTTAAGTAAAAATAACAAACTGGACTAGATATTAGAATTCTGCTCATAAATTACAGATACAGCTTTCCTTCAGTATAATCCTGAAAAGGATTACAGAGGGGGCATGTTAAGAACAAGCTTTGTAGCTCAAGATAACAGTTCCAGACAAATAACTATTCTACAGAAAATGCTCTAAAGCAGAACATAGTTTCATAATAGTTAACAATGAATAAAAGACTGTTTTCAAGGGATAAGATTTCCAAAATACGCTATGCAATTTGAAATGTTTTGAGTTCTTCTATTAACAGTTTGTCTAGTTAATATTTTATAGATTACCTTAAAAGAGAAACAAAAAGTCACTACTCTCATCCACTTCACTGATATTTCCAGATGATAAACCTGACAAAGAATGTATTAGTGGTCATTAATTCCCACTTTCCCTACATTGGCAGAACATCCTTTTTAATTCATGACACTGCAGTTAAAGTTCTGATAAGTGTTTTGGATAGGCCAAGGCAGTAGATAACAGAGACTGCTGACAAGAGAATAAAGCGATAAAATAGTGCGATTTTTACAGTGAAGAAGCTGGCAATGCCTCTCTAACAGCCTTCCTTGTATCCAGGTAGTTATAAATACGGCCTGGAAGGAACACGGCTGCATAATTTCAAGTTAACTATGAAGGAATATGACCCTATAAAAAGAAAAGCTACAGACATGAATTTACATTAAGCATCTTCTGGATGCAAGATGCTAGCGTGCGACAATCCTGGCTCTTTGATTAATACCAGTCATCCATCAAAAGAAAGTTACTATTGTTCGTCATGAGTATAAAGAAGCCACATATGGAGACTTGCTTGGGCAGAATCCAGCACAGGTCTAACAAGCTCTGGTTAGGCAATCAGGCTACCAAAGAGTGAGAAAGCCCTAAGCACTGCTGTATTATTGACTGCCTCTACACTTTGAAGACGTCTAATAATGTTCATGAAGTGATCACTGTTCTACAATGCAGGTGCTGGTCAGACAGACAGAATTCCTGTTCATATGTGGATCAGGTTACCTACACTGACTCTTCTGGACAACTTTGATTATTTTATTCCTTCTCTTCACTTCCCCAGAGAACTTTTACTTGCAAAGACTCTTTAGTAAATGAAATACCCAGGGAACCAGAGACAGACATTTAAAGGAATACAGTTCCTACTGATGATAAAAGGAGGAAGGCAAAAAGTTTCCTTCTGACGACGTATTGCTCAGTCAGAATACTCGTGTTTAAAGTTCTTTATTTTCATATTCACAAAAATATGACCCAGTTTGAGTTAAATTTCATGGAAAAGTCATAATTTAAATCCTGGAGGTTTTCAGGATATAGAAGCCAAAGATTTTTTCTAAGGCTAATAGTTACTCAAATCGTAACAGCTGAGATGAAAAGGTTTTGGCCTTCCCTGGATACTCTTCTTACCTCTGCTCTTTATGCTCATCAAGGTGGAGACGAAGCCAGTATGAGACACCACATAAGACTGTCAATATACGTATTTCATGGCTACAAAGGTCTCTCAGGAGTGAGATATGCTATATTCCTCTCTCGGCCTCGCAAAGCAGCCAGGCGCACAGCTGTCGTGGTTATAAACTAAGCTAGATAGATTTATTTTTTTCCTCCTGTAACTGTTTGTAGTTAGAAAATGAACTGATGCTCCACCTGCTGGAAAGAGGAATAAATGATCTCTAGCATTCAGCAAGTTCTTTCTATACGGAAGGGCAACCATTTAAGACTCAAAGCACAACCTCTTGCTGTCAGTAGACAAAACTAGCCAAGCATTTAGCTTGTCTAAGGTTCTCTTCCCTGCTTCAAGAACTGAACACTGATTTTCAGGCGCCTTTAAAAACTTTTGTTTTGACTTTACATAGTAAACAACAACCTGACAATTTTACTCTGTGCACTAATTGCTCTCAAGTAATACTTTTCCTAAGAATTCGATATGGGTTAACTTGTTTTGTGCAATACGGAATATAATATGAAGCAGAGGAGCTGCTGCACTCCTCCTCCTCCTCCCATGTGTACTAGCTTTTACTGTATTCTGAATTTTTCCAATGGTGACAGAAAAGTAGCAAAAGAGTAAAAAAGCAAACTAATTCAACAGTGTAAAACATCGGCTGATAGTTGCCAGGCTGACAAACTACAGAAACAAGTGCTTATTTTATACAGCAACTTAAAATAGGAATCCGGAAAAGAAGTCTAAAACCTCAAGGTACAAATGCATCTGGCAAGATCAAAGTCAGACAGCTAGTACTATACTCTTACAAGCTAATTTCTTTTATGGATTATGTTATGACTTACAGTGGACTTCGTTTCATGATTTACAGTATGTTTCTTAAAGATCAAACAAAGATGTTTCAGATACATGGATAATGATGCTTGGAAGAAGTCCAATACTGACCCTCAGCCAGCCTGAGCCACTTGAGTTGGTCAATCTGTCTCTACCACATAAATAATTAATAGATTTCTGAAAATAAAATAATAAACATCTAAATATATATATACATATTTATATATGTAAATACATCTAACACAGAACATTAATCTGACAGTTAACAAACATCTCCAAATCAAAAAGAAGCCATAAATGTCAGCCATCATCCCTGCTGAACTGTGATTTGCAAAGAAGATGAGAATGCTGCTCTAACTGGTGGGAACTCATTACTTTCCATCTCACTAAAGCCGAATACTCGAGAATACAGAAGTAGAACCTCTTCGCCTCCCTAAAAACCCGACATTCTAAGTAAATAAACAATTGTTTTATTCTGCCTTTTCAGATCTGTGTTTCTGGGGAGTAGTTGGGTAATATTTTCAAATGCATCTCGATAACCATAAAAGCTGTAATTTCTGAGAGAGGTGATTTTCTCATCTAACTAAAACTTCTAAGGACAACACCAAATAATTTTCTCTGCTGGAGTTCAGTATCACAACAGCAAGTACAGCAAAAATAGTGGAAGATTCACTAATGCCCAAAGGGAAAAACTGCAGACAGTTCAGATCCAAATTTTGTGATGTCTGACAGCATTAGTGAGCGATAATGAGCAACACTTGAGATCATACAGAAATTGCTACTATTCAAGATATCAAAACCCCCCTTGTGACTTAGACCATAATACTTTTTCTAAGCCATAGGTAACTGTACCTTAGAACACTCCCTGCTTTGCCTAACACAACATACATATACAGCAGTGATGAAGAAGGTGATTTATACCAATTACTGACTAAGCTCATCTTCACTGTAAAAGTTACACGATCTCTAGCACAGAAGGACAAATAAGAAGAGAGCTGCTTCTTATTTTCTCATCAACAGCTTCAAGAGAAAAAAGGTAGTTAAGAGACTTACTCCTCAATATGCTATTTCCAATAGCCAAAAGAAGGTCGGTGTGTCTATCTGCAAAGGATGGAACGAAGTGGTAGAAAAGCCTAAGATACCGAACTACTTTCCCCAAAATATTATTTTCCTCATGTGAAATAATGCTCAAATAACAATTTAGCAAGTAAAGGCATAAAAGTGTCACAACACAACATAAACAAAGTTCCTATTTTTTATTTACATATAGTTATATGCAAAGCTCTCTTTAAAGAACATTAAAATTGCCAAAATGATAGTCAAAAACTTAGAAATACCCAAATTAACAATGCTTCTGTAAGAATGATCGCTAAAGAAATATTTGAATGTCCTGAAGATCATATCCATTATAACTATCAAAGAAACAGAAAAAACCTGGAAAAAGACCCCACAGGTCTGAGCACCTAAATAAATGAGAAAACCTTCTAGAACTGGATCCTAGAAATGACATAATATATTCTGTAAGAAGAAGCGCAACAGCATACACGTCACTTTAAATCCCGTTCTTTTAAGACAATTCTTAACATTCCTTAAGTTTTTGCAACACCCGTGCTGACAGCGGAGGGCATAAATACATGAAGAACGAGTCGATATCCCACCGGGTTTCGAGTCTTACCTGGTTGGGTCTTACTGGGATGATGCTGTCCACCTGCTCCTTGCTGCGGAGGAGGACTTGCCCCTGCTTGTCCAGTACCTTGTGCTGGGCTGGTGCCGGTCAGAGTCCCGGTAGGCAGTGGCTGACCCCGCTTTAGGAGCTGCTTCTGTTCTTGCTGGCGGAAGCGTGGAGGCACCTCACGAGGCAGGTAACGGGACGCAGCTGGCTGCTGCCCATTAGCAGACGCACGCTTGCCATTGTTGCTGTTGGTGATAGTGCTGGTGGAAGTACTGGTACCGGTACCGGCAGGTTGGGGCTGGCTTAAACTGGTCTTAATAGGTTCTGGCACTACGTAAAAAAGACAAGAACAGAAACGCCTTTAATATCAGAAAAGTTGTGGGTGTTTTTTTTCTGTAACTGAGCAAATGGATAATGTTTTTCAGTCTCCCAAAGAGTCGGCAAAACATGGACTATAAAATACGTAAAATGTATTCTAAACAGAAAAGTCTTACGACCAGAACTCAGGGCTAGTTTACTATTATGTAGCCTCCCAAAACATTTTATATAACAATTTTGAAATCTACGTCTAAAAAACCTGATTTTGTACGGCAGTAAAAATTTATGTACCACAACACAGCTGATAAAGGCTTCACACCCAACTCTGTGAGAGCCTACATGTCTTTTTTTAACTGCAAACCCCCGGGCCTTATCTCACACACTTCCCGCTTCCCAGGCTGCACCAGAAGTCAGCAGCACACAACAGAGAAGCTGTTTACTATGGGGGAGAGCATATAGGCTGAAGACGGAGCAATCTATATACACACAACCAAGCTCATGTCAATACTCAGATGGCTCCCACATATGCAAATGTCTATGTGTGTGTCTGGGTGCTTACAGTAAACGTGATTTAGGAAAGTACAACACTAGGAAATCAGTGTTTTTCTTCTTATTAACTCTACAAGGGAGCAAGTGAAAAAACTTCTTAGATGTTTTCACTTCCAGCATTTCTAAAACATCTTGGATTGTTTTCAAAACCAGATGTCTAGGAACACTTACCCTAAAACAGTAAATAAAAGCCCAATAAATAAAAGGATGGCTAGAATTAATTGTTGTTATGCTCAAATAATGTGCAGGGGGAAAAAAATTATTAAATAAGAAATAGTGGCACAGAGTAACTACTTCTTAGATGTTTTCACTTCCAGCATTTCTAAAACATCTTGGATTGTTTTCAAAACCAGATGTCTAGGAACACTTACCCTAAAACAGTAAATAAAAGCCCAATAAATAAAAGGATGGCTAGAATTAATTGTTGTTATGCTCAAATAATGTGCAGGGGGAAAAAAATTATTAAATAAGAAATAGTGGCACAGAGTAACTCTTTTTTTTTTTTTTTAAACTGGAAGAGTTATTAGGACACAGAAAGTAGCATGCTGTGAAATTTGAATTTCAGAAAATTAATTCAATTGAAAAGGAGTGTACATTGGGGGGGGGGTTTTCAAGTAAAGATTAATTTGTGTTACTCCTGCTTTAACCAATTTGTAGACACATGTGCAAGTACTTTGTACCTACAATGATGCACAAATATGTTCTATGTATTGGGACTTAAAAAGAAAATTATGCTCACAGGCGATTTATTCAATAAATAATTTTTAAGGACTTCAAAAATACGTGGTTTATGTTTTCAAAAGTTATGATTAAAACTCAGATCATAATTAGTTCCTTTCATTGGAAAGAGTGGATGACTTACACAACTCTTTTACCATAACAAGGCTATTTCGGGGGGATACTTTTTAACTTAATAATAATTTAAATTATTATAATAACAATAATTACATTATTAATATAATAATAATAAAAATAATTTTAATTAATTTTTAATTTTGTTTTTAACAAAACCACGAAGTTTTCATATCCCACTGAAAAGCACAAGAACCATTGCCGCACTTTGCAAAGTTACCTAACAAGTGTTTCCCTGCAAAGCACTTCTCATTTCTAAACTGACCCTGAAATGTAGTAACTGAAAAAAGTAAACCACATTTCAGTTTTATACTAAGCCACACATTTGCAAGAACACAAGTGAATGGGCACGAGGACAAACAAGACTATACCATTAGTTCTCCACGTATCACAAGTGACTAAAGGAAAACCTTCTCATCTGTAGTAAGAAGCAGTCAACTTCAGCTGCAAAATGGATTCCAATGTGTAAAGCGTGAGCATTATTTTAATCAACATTAGCACTACCTTTAATGATAAAAAAGGTTTTGTCTTTCAAAGAAAGGTACTAACTCCCCAGTCTGTGCAGACCACATCCGTTACAGGTACCAAACCAGCCAACCAGTTCACCCTAGGACAGAAAGAAAACCTCAACAAACCTTATCTTCTCTCCGATTTAATGAATGTATTGACCAGTCTATAGGATATGCTGAAGACATAAATTTGTGGCTAAAGTTTACATTGCAGGGAAATAAATTTATACGGTTATTTGTACATCAGTATTTCCGCACAGAAGTAATACAAGCTTTTCTTAAATCTTTCAAGTCTAAAACCTTTAAACATAGTAGCGTCTCAACTGTTCCTTTTCCATAGTGTTAGCTGCTGCTTTACTACCAGGACAAAATACAATATCCTATAAACACTACTGGAATTAAAACAGCATTAAGTTTTAAAAATAAGGATAAATTCTGGTTATTCTCTGCTTAGGCAAAATGCATTGCCTGTTACAGTATTTGAACCTTTTATTCCTTACTGTAACAAATCTTCCATATGCTTTAAAACAGGAGGGAGGAGCACAGAGATGTGACAATTTAGTATTGAACAGACTGCTCATTTAAACTGCATGGGAAGCTACTGCACCCATCTAGAGCACCCACCGCCTTTTTAGTTCAGCAGTTATCCAGTTTTGGCTGTGACATTGCTAATATTAACATCAAATCACACTGCCTATAGCCATGAAAGCATAAGTTTTCAGGCTTCTAATGATCTCCCATAAAACTAGTTAAAAGACCTGACCCACCAGCTTATTCAGCACTTGCACAAAACTTCTGTTTTCTCGTGGTCTTTACCTAAACCTTCACATCACACATTTCAGGACACCCTAGTCTTCTACATTTGCACTCCAGGCATACATTTGATATGCCCCATACTAAACTTGCCTGAAATAAGCAGACCAGACCCACCCTGGTGCATAGCAGAATTTACCCGCACAGCTTGGCACGGAGAGGTCAGCAGTGCCGGGTCTTTTTGGGAACAGCCACGAGGGAGTCGGGGCTGGGGTACCAGGAGCAGAGCAGCACGGTGCTGGCTGGGGATGGCAGTGCATGTCAGGGAATTTGCTCAACTCACCTGGCAGTGTTTACCAAAGCTGCTTGGCCGCCCAGAGGAAACCCTTTGGGCTTCCTACACGCACAGAACCAAGTATTCCTCCAGCTCATCACGAGCATGTCCAACAAGTGCAAAATTGCATCTCATGTCGTTATACACGCGCTACAAAACCAGCGCTCGGCCTCTCTCCAGGCTTTGACAGACCTGAAAACTGATCGACTTCCACAGCAGAAGCAGTGGACGGGTGTCAAGGTAGCGGCGAGGGTGGTTTAAACGCGAGCAGGGACTTGCACAAGCAAAAATATGCCAAGCTGGACAGCAACCATCAGCACTTTGTTTCTCCAAGACACTTATTTTGGAAGCCTAAACAATTTCACCTGTGCTTATTTCTGTAACAAGGAAGGAACTTCGAATATAAAAAAATTAAAAAGTACCAGTAACATCTGAAGAGCAAAGAATAAAACCTTCTTTGCCTTTTCAAGATATACCACCAGCTTTGGAAACGAACAGTTTATCCTAACTCTGACAATTAAAAAAGTAGATGAAAATTGTCACGAAATGCAGAATAATTCATTTCAAGTATCAAATTAGCATATTCAACATGTGAAAACTATTCTGTTTCCACAATATAAATAAACCTGTCACCCACATGATACAAAATATTATTTGGTTTTAATGGGTCTATTTTTAAGTCCTGTTGACTTGACCATGCCACCTGGCCTTTAAAAAAAACTGTAGTATAACCTTTGAATTAAGCTGATCCTCTCATTGAGCAGCAGTCCCTCTGGAGACGAACGTCTCTCCAGGTCTCTGGACAGCCTGCCACAGGGGCACACACAGCTTCTGCGGGTCACCACCACCGCCTGTCTGGCAGGTACCAAACCTGCTGCGCGGAAAACACAGGCTCGGGCTCAGGCTCTCACCAGCCATCATCCTGGGATTGGGAAGGCTGCACCACCTTAGACTTGTGTATGCGCATATCTAAATGCCTGTTGTCCAGACTTGAAACTGTACCAAAAGCCAACTCCTGCTTAGTTTTGCTTGCTTTGCCACATTGAAAGGATAATTAAAATAGTATCACTTTTTATCTTTTTGAACAAAGTGTATGTTTCCATTTCATTTGGGAGATGGAGAGCGGAAATGGGAAAATTAGAGATCTTGGGGTATTATTACTACTACTACTATTATTGCAGAGATGTAAGCATTTACCTATTACTACTACTATTATTATTATTATTATTACAGAGATGTAAGCATTTACCTACTACTACTATTATTATTAGAGATGTAAGCATTTACCAACACTGAAATTTCAAGTACTCAGTACTTCTGCAAAGGATGAAGCTGTACGTGATTTGCTTGTGGCTACACGATTCAGAAAGAGCACTCCAGACATAGTCTGTTCTACCAAAAATACTAAACCCATTTCAGCCAGAAAGTTTCTCCAGCTTGGATACGGACTAGCCACACAAACCCTGGTGCCAGCAGATCAGAGGGAACACCAGGGAAGAGGAGGAACAGGGGTCAGGCAGGAGGAGGCAGCCGGGTGGGGATGAGGACTGCTCCCCCACATTGCCACCCCAACGTCTCTCACCAAGCCAGCTCAGCTCTGGCCATCAAATGCTGAAGTACTCCAAGGTCCTGATCAGCTGGGGGAAAAGCGTGGAAGGGACGACCGCATAGCAAAGTGAAAAACCAGAGTGTGCTTTGATTTCCTTATTTTTTAAACTGAGAAATGATTTTTCCATGGAATTAAATAAGTATATAAGAGACTTAAAACCATCAGCTGGCACAATGCCAATGGAGTCGATATTTATCTGGCCCTGAGATTTTCTTAAGGAATACTAATTAATTGGAAACATATTTGAGAGAGCAAGGCAGGCTGCTTTTTAAGAAGCATTATATTCTCAGAACTTTTTCGCGCATGCATATATATATATATATATATAAATAAAAATCACTAACCTAAGTCACAGAGTACACAACGTTTGCTTTAATGTAAATTAACAAAGCAGCTTCATCACAAA